CATTCCCATTTTTTGAGCACCCCAAGAAGGACTTAAACCCAGGGGTTCCCATTTTGGGGAAATCAACCACCCTGGCGTTTAAGTTTTTCCTTGCTACCCCCCTCCCTGAAATGGACTCCCTGAAATGCCTCTAACATGGCCCACCCATGAACCTTCACCTCAAATCATCCCAAAGTGTTGTAAATTACTTGATATGTGAAGACCCAAGCAGTTTGGTCCCTGCCTCACTATGGTTTGTATCGGTAGCCGCCGTCAAGACTCGACCCCGGATTACTTCAACCTGGGGGTCGCTGCGCTTCTCCCGTTCCCAGATCCCCCAGATCCCCTTCCTTAAGTCATAGTGGTTTAGTGGAAGCTACCACTAAACCCTAAAAGGCAAAAAACCCAAGGACGCTAATGACGCACCCAAGCATACTGATGGACAAAAGCCTGCAGTGAGTGCCGCATTAAAGCAAGGGACAGGCAGGTGTCTACCACTTCACTGCAGATTTTGGGACTCACTGCCTTAGTTGATTGGCCAAACAAAACCATAGGTGTCCTTTGGGAAGATAGATGGTCCTTTGGGAAGATAGATGGTCCCGGTCAATGGGTAATAAAACCCATCTAAACCAGTGGAACCCATCTACATCGGTTGGCATCCTCCACACTTCCTTTGAGCGCCCGGAAAATCGTGTAACATCAACAGTGGTTCCTTCAAAAGACACCTGCAACCTCCATGACCTTCTTCGTCCCCTTGAAACAAATGCCCCCTGAATCATCAAATGTTCAAGCCACCGTCCTTCGGAGAAAAAAAGAGTGTCGGCCCCATGAGGTTCTACCAGTATCAAAGTATCCCCCCAACTGGCCAAAGGGAAGCCAACCAGTTGTTGAGCCCGTGTCCTTTTCAGTTCCCTGTGCAAATGTACTCAAACAGGGGGCCGAGCCTCACCCAAATGGCGAAAATAGGAGTCCGCCCTTGTTCGGAGGGCATCCGTTTTGGGGTTGGTTTAAAGGGAAGCCAAAGGGAACCCACCCATCTTCGCGGGGCGGTCCCCTCTTTTGAGACATATTCCCCGAACCCATAGCCGGCCTGCAGGTTGCCCACGGTGAGGAACATGCCTTCCTTCATCATCTCCAAGTGCTCGTCCCTGCCCAGGCCGAAGACCTGGGCGGGGGAGGGAGGTCCGCCAGCGCTGGGGAGGGGGGGGGGGGTTGACCTCTCGGCCTGTTGTCAAAGGAGAGCGGGGAGAGGAGAGAGAGAGGGGTCACTCAAGAGCATAGGTGTCCTGTTTGGGCAAATAGATGGCCCCTGTCAAGGAATCAAACCCACCTAAACCAGTGCCGGCTATTTCCGGCGCCAACATCGCCCAAAAAGGGGACGCCTCTGCTTTTCGAGGAGTGCCGGTGAAAGCTCCGCGTTTCCAAAACGCTGGCCGTGCCACTCCCCTCTGGACCCGAAGCAAGGACCTGGGGGTGTCCGACTGGACTGGCCCCAGCCGAAGCCACCGGCCCATTTCTTTCTGTCCGGGCGAACTGGGGCTGAACAAAGACATGATGCCACTCGCCAAGATGTCCTTCACCCACGTCTTTCCTCACGCACCAAAGGTGTTCCGCAGGGCCGCAGTTCTTCGCCAGGTTCAACTAGGCCTTTCTGACTTCTGTCCCTTCTATCGCCTTGCTCCAACGCTGAGATGCACCAAGAAGATACTCAGATTCTGCGTATGTGTCAAAAGGGAGCCCTCCTTGCGGTTTCCACTTGCCCAAAAGGGAAGGCGCTGGGTCTTTGGTCTCACGACAAGGCCATGGATGTCCCTGTCACATTACAAGTAACCAACTAAAGTTTCTTCTTTTTTTCCGGAGCCCTTCACCCAAAGCCATCTCCGCGTCCAAAAGCGCTTGCTCGAACGCTGGCTTACGCTCGCCTCAAAGCACTCGGGCCGTCTCCGCCGCTGTTCCTGGCAGAAATGGTGGCGGTTCGCAGTTCGGCTTCCGGTCCCAACATCAACAAATCCAGGAAGAAGCAAAACCTTGGGCGACCCATTTTCTCGGGTAACAAAGTTCCTTTCGGATGCTCCACGATTGTCCTTTGAAGTGGAAAAAGTGGAAAAGGGAACCCGAGTTGAAAAGGGACCCGTTTTTTCAGACACACCAGCGAGCCAAAATGTTTTGGACGGTCTTCGTATTTGATGTCTGGCCTGAGAAAAAGGCAAGTGTCCCTTCCGCGCAGAAAAACAACTTGAGCATCCTTTCGAGAAAAAATGATGGTGGTAGTGTAAGGGGCAAAAAAGAAAACGGACTCCATCCATCAGAACATGCCCGGAACGGACACCGTGCGCACCAAATTCCAAATGAAAACCCCCCCTTTGGATGGTTTCAAGCGAGAAATGACCAACAGTTGCAGGAAGCTTCACCAAATAGGGGGCGCAGGGTAGGCGGGTGTACGCTAATTACATGGACACCAACCGAATGGAAAGCTCCGCAATCACAAACGGCTCGCTGAAGTTGGCGCCCACTCCCCGCAAATCCATATATGGGTGTGGTCCTTTTTGTCAGGGGCTCCTCCCAAAACGGTCGTTTTCCTTACGAGAAATCAATCACCCTCAAAGAACAAAACAGAAAAACAAAGAAATCAATCACCCTCAAAGAAAAACAGAAAAACAAATGAGAGGGAAAAAAAGAGAAGAAGAAAAAAAACGGAGCAAACCAGCGGCCATTTTCTGGGTTCCCCTCTTTCCGGAAGGGTGCCCCTAACCCCCCCGGTTCCAACCCATGCCCCCTCCCGCCTCCCCCCCCCCCTCACCCCCCCCCCCCGCGCCATGAGGCGTCGCTGAAGAGGCTCATTCTTTTCCAGGACCTCGGCTCAAATGGAGGGCTGGCCATCCTTCTCCAGAATCTCTGATTAAAAAACGCCGCCTAGGTCCTCCAGTAGAGAGACTTGAATAAGGGTACCCTTGTCTCTGTAGTCTATTTTAGTAGGGGAACCCTCTCCCGAAAAAGGGTAAAAGGGCACTACTGGGGGACCTAGCCACTACAAAGGGGACCAAATCCTTGACTGCTGTTGATGCTCACCACCAGCCTTCGCACGCCCAACCGCCACAGGTCGTTCGCAAAGCTGGGGCTTGGGTTGCTCATCAGAGCTCCTGCGGTGTTTGGCGCTAGCCATCGCAGGGCTACGCATGAGGAGCGTGGTGACTGGCTCGCCATGTGACCGACGTTCTGCTAGCTCGCCATGTGACTGCGTGCCGTCGGCAATCGGCAGGCCCTGATTGCACAACGATCCGCGGCTGCTGCAGAAGCTAGAGGAGCAGGTGACAAGCTCGCGTTGGAGAGGATTTCCCTTTGAACAGACTGGGGAATAGCGCGGGGAGCCGGCGATTCCGAAACCCATTGACTCACTGCTCTTGCTGGTTTGATGAGAAAAACCAGCTCCAACTTGGCTTCCTTTAAGGGAATCCCTGGGTTCATTCCCTACTGAGCACCCGCAAGTGTTGGGTTCTAGCCTCTTGCCACCAAAGGGACAGTAGTCTTCGCAGACCTTCTGATCAGCCTTCCATGAGCAGAGATAGTTTTGACAGATGAGGAGGCAGCCCCTTCTGAAATGGCCCTTTCGGGTGGTTTTGGCGCTCCCCCAAACCCGGCATAAATACATGAATGATTGCACACAACCTGAAATCAGGGCCATCTATGGACCAACCTGACCCTGGGATCGACCTCAAACAACATGAGGGTCTTCTCTGGAGATGCCCCCCAACTTTGGTCATCTCCCAGGTGAAGTGCCAAGACGCAACACAAGAATCATGACATGAGCTTCCATCCGACTTCAAGGCACAAGGAGGAGGTAGCTCTGGACACAGGGCAACCTTGTTCGGAGTTCAAACCCCGAAGTCGTCTTCGAAAAGTGATAATGTGGATGGACACAATCCATTTCGCACCACCTAAGAAACCATGGTTGAAACCATTTGTTGTTACTATTTGTTGGGGGAATCATCCTTCCAGGGATTCTTAGGTGGTGCAGGATTTGGTGCTCTTGCCCAGTAAATGCAGTATGGAATGTGCCCAGATTGTCAACTTCGGATTAACCCTACTGAAGCAAAACGAATCCCCCCCCCATTCTCTGGCAACCTACTCCAATGGTCCAAGTCTCTGTCCCACTACTCTCTTTCTGTTGCCATCCAGCTCACACATGCCCTGCTCGACTTGTCCACTCAATCACTCAATGCATCCTATGTCCCGACCGATGGAACCCACCTCTTAACCAAACTAACCAAACCAGGACACCTATGAACCCAATCCTCAAGCTTCAGGAGGCGTTGAAAGTAGGTGTTGCTGCTTGGACAGTTTTTAACAGAGACGTATCCAAAGCAAACCCCATTTGCGGACTCCCACCTGTTTGGAGCCTCTTATCCCTTCTGGCAAGCCGCCTATTCAGACATTCCTTCGACCACTTGTCTGATCTCAGGGTTTTTGTATTACACCCGGGGATGACGCCCTTGGGAAATGACCCAGAATGGTTAAAAAAAACACGGTTTTATCCGGAAACGTGCCTAAACTGGGTCAATACCTAGTGGGTGTATTCCCAGGGTGTAATACCAAAAACCTTAGATCTGAGGAGCCGGTGAAAATCGTGGGACTCTAAATGTGCAGGAGGATAAAGAGAAAGACCCCCAGTTGCAAAACCAGCCAAAACCATGATTCCAGTCCTCCATTTGCAGTAGAGTCCGGAAAAAGAAGAAAGTATGTCCAGCTGTGAAATCGATTCCCTTTAAAACCAAGAGGGACAACTACACCAGATATGCATCTTTTTTTG